TGTATGCAATTCGAAGGGTTCGTTCAATGCGTTGACATATATTTGACTTTTTCCAAGTATCAGAACTGACCGCCAAGTCTAAGCGGTGAGCCATGCAATGGCAGACTATCCAACCGCTTTCGGGCAAGCTCTCTGTCAGTTGGGCTGCGAGAACCATGGCAGAGGCCCCATCTGACGTCCAGCAGTAACAACGAGATATATCGATGTTATCGCGAGTATGAAGATTCCTGATTGCCTCCGCGATAGTCGCCCCCTTGCCATCGCCTATGGTGATCAAGTCCCATAAGACGACTTGGCACCCGCCTTCACTGTCTATGCAGTGTGCGAGCACTGCCAACCTGACTAATAGAGGTGAGCCAAGTATATGACATACTACAACTCACCATTCGTCCGAGTCTATGACAGTGTCAAGTATGATCCCATACATCACAGCATTCCGTATGGTGTCAGCATTCTTTCTCATAATGACTATATCGATACTTTCGATGAATTCCCATGAGCTGTAGCGGGTCACATGGAATTCAGTTGATAAAGAGCTGCCGAGCAATTTGCAGTGCTCTGCAAGGGATTCGAATTTGACTATACTTATTTCTTCCCGAGCAAGCCAAATAGCGTTTTGCACCAAGGGTGAATAACCCATCAGTTTCTTATCCTTCTCAGCTTCCAGTCTGGATGCTTGGCCCTTCCAAAAGCTATTATTAACCTCTCTGGTCGCCGCGAGTTTGATAGACTCCGCGTGGTTACCATCCTTGCCATGGCTCACCACAGTGGATTTTTGCAATCCGTCCGCTGATCTCCATTCCGACCATCTTCCCGCAGTGGGATTCGAACAACACAAAGAACATCAGAAATTTTCCGATGTTCGGGTTGATCGGGATAATCCTTTTCCGACGGAAAAGGATCGAACCATCTGCGTCCTCACTTGTTACCAACCAGGAATGTTCCTTCGCCCACTTTGACAGTTTTTGACAAGTACTAAGCACGGGATTGGGCATAGGACCAAGGAGGGAACTACTATCATCATCAAGATTCAGAATCTTGCTCATTTTTGTCTACTCGTAAAAAAACCATTGACGAACAGCCGCTCACGATGCAATCGGGTTGTTCCTTTTCCCGAGTTTGCGCATGCGTGCAAGGCGACGCGCAAGCTTCGTGGCACAACCCGTGACAGCGCCGAGAAAAATTGTATTCGACTGGAAAAAACTTCCTGCACAGATCAAACATTTATCGCGATGAAAAAAACCTCTTACAGGTTACTCTGAATGCAACCATGACACATATTTGTACAGACCTCACGACGGTGACTGGCAGAGTTTCAGAAAGCCTTTGACTCAGCGGCGCTGAGAGACATGGACTATCGGGCTTACTCAATAGCGTTGCACTGAACTTGTGAATGATGGAGGATTCTCGACGAACTCGAGGTATAGTTTACTCTCTTTTCACCAAGTTCAGTCAATACCATTCCTTGTCTGACTTTGCATGGAAACGCGAGAAAACTTACGACGCTGGCTCTCACAGTGAGGATCACGTTCCCCAACAAAACCGATGATTGAACGTCAATGATACCAAGTTGGTAATATCAACAAGTGTCTAACAACTGATCCTCGTCAATTGCACTCATTCTTGGGATACTTAGTGGCTGTAATAACCCTATAAAACATCGCGACGAGACTCCTATCGATTAGCAAAAATGTAATCGTCAAACAAAGAAACCAGAGTGTGATAGAAGTCTAATTCATGCAGATAGAAGTTATGGACCTCCAATACATGAACAGGATTTGCCTTTACATCATTTACACTGCTAGTGATTTGGCAGGTGAGAAAGCGCCACACTGATTATAGCAGCAGAACAATATGTAAGATGCTGCTGCATCATTGTCGATGTCCCAATCTCCCGTTGCACACAATATGTCTGTCTACTAATTAGACAGACAGATAGACAGCTTAGCCAGTGTCTAGGCTGGAGGATTCCTTTAGCTCAGCTTACGATGAAGATAGTCTACGTCGTCGAGGTATAGCCAGGCCTGGATGACATTCTCCTGTAATTATATCCAGTGTAGTGTTATCTCAATGGGTAAATCACAAACAACTGCCGCAGCACGCGTACCAAAGGCGAGGTAAAAAAGTCCGGTGACGTGCGTTTTCGCGCGCGTAAAAACATTCATGCATTTTCGCCATTCAATGGCGCCATTGAGTGACGCCATTCACTTTTCCAGACAACCCAAGCCGAGGATGACCAGCTCGAGGAAGGAGCTCATAATTGGTGATGAGGGGCCGGTGCCGGGCGTAGCGCTCTGAGCTGCCTTAGCTGTGCGAAAAACGAGATTGTGGCAAATTGGCCGACGCTGGTGTTTTCCCGCGGATCTTCAGTTTTCGTGCGATTCTATTCCATTTTACTACTCGACAATGGGCGATCAGCTTCGTAGTCTTCTTAGTACTCTGAGTTTTGGTATCTCCTTATTATATGTGGTCAAATTGAGGAGGTTTCGTGAAGAAAATTAAACGGGTTCAAAAGGAGACGGGAAGGCCGCCGGTCGAAGTCTCCAGTGAATTATGAGTGCAAATTCCAAAATTCCAATTTCGGGAGATACGCGAAATTGTAGATTACTCGAAGCCACATTGGTTCACAACTTAACCGTCGAGTCCGAGTGCTTGTTCTCATCGGTGGAGGGATTCAAGGCGTTGGTGACACGGTGTCACCGCGGCGGTGACACCATGTGGCCCCCCTCGCCAGCATTATTCCATCTACCCCTAGGTCACCGGGAGGGCCCCTCGAATGCCCTCGACAAACATCAATGGGAATGGCATCGTCGGTTGCATGTGTTAGCGAATATTTTCGTGCAGGTGTAAACTCTTCTGTTTCAGCTTTGGCTATTTGCTCGTACTCTGGTGCCCTCGGCTGCATTGAAGAGATCCACTTCTCGGGAATGTTCTATTCGGATTCTTCAAAGGGGAGTGCTGCATGTATCACGTAAGTTTGGTGGTCTTCGGGGATTGAACCCGAGTTGTTAGTGGTGGAGCATTACCCTCTACCGTTAGAGCATTCTTCTCTGTAGCGTTGGACCGTTGAAAGCCGCCGACAACTCCTGTGCAGCACTTCACTAATTCCCATCACCATTCCCTATTTCGTTCAGGTGTTCGAAGCGGACCCTCTCGGCACTGGCGAGTGAGGTAGCATCAGCAACTCTCCCGTTTCCATGGCGACCAGAAGTCACACCAGCATTAGTGAAACAGGTAGGTCTATGTGGGCAATCTGCACTACAACGTG